GGTGAGATGAGAACCACCCCTCCTCCACATGTTTTGACGGCGGAGGAGCCGTCGGTGTAGAGGGTCCACCAATCATCCGAAGGGGCCGATGGCTCCTCGTCCGTGGCTGCTCTTACCGTACACTCCGTCACGAAGTCTGCTAGGGCTTGGCCCTTGATGGCGGGCCTAGGACGGATGTCGATGTTGTATTGGCTCAAGAAGACAATCCATTTTACCATTCGGGAGGAGTTAGTGGGGCTCCTCATCAAGGCGCCGAGGGGTTGGTGAGTGAGGACCTGGACCGGGTGAGCTTGGAAGTAATGGCCCAACTTCTTGACGGTCCACACGATAGCCAACACCGTTTTTTCCACGGGGGAGTACCGGAGCTCCGCTTCCCTGAGGGTCTTGCTAACGTAGAAGATGGCATGTTGGATGCCATCCTCTTCCCGGATGAGTACTGAGCTGATGGATGCCGGGCTAACACCCAAGTAAAGGTACATGATCTCCCCCACCTTGGGTTTAGAGAGTACAGGGGGTGAAGATAAGTACCGTTTCAGCTCCTCGAAGGCCCCCTGACATTTTGAAGTCCATTGGAAACTGGTGGTTTTCCTCATCATCTGGAAGAAGGGTAAGGACTTCGCCGCCGATTTTGATAAGAAGCGATTGAGGGCTGCCAGGCGGCCCGTCAACCGTTGGACCTCCTTTACGTTGCGTGGGGGTTCCATGTTGATGATGGCCTGAATCTTCTCGGGGTTGGCCTCGATACCCCTTCGGCTCACCATGTAGCCCAAGCATTTGCCCCCCTGAACGCCGAAGGTGTACTTCTTTGGGTTCAGCCGAAGGCTAAACTTCTGCATGATGGCGAAGATCTCCCTCAGGTCGTCAGCATGGCTTGCTGATTGCTTGCTCTTGACGATCATGTCGTCAACATACGCCTCCATGGTACGCCCTAGGACAGCTCGGAATATCCTGGCCACCATCCGAGTGTAGGTGGCTCCTGAGTTTTTTAGGTCGAAGGCCATGACAAGGTAGCAGAAGATGCCCTCGGGAGTCATGAAGGCCGTTTTTTCAGCATCTTCCTTATGCATAAATATTTGATGATATCCGCGGAATGCGTCGAGGAATGACATGATTTCACACCCCGCGGTTTCATCCACAAGTTGATCAATATTTGGCAAAGGAAAGGGGTCCATGGGACACGCCTTGTTGAGATCCGTGTAGTCCACGCACATGCGGAATGAGGGCGGTTTTTGTGCGAGGACTACATTTGCCAGCCATGAGGGGTATTTTACCTCCTTGATGTGCTTGATAGAGAGGAGCATGGCGACCTCCTTCTTCACAAATTCCGTCCTCTCAGCCGAGAGGGGTCTCCTCCGCTGCTGTACCGGTTTGACCGAGGGGGTCCACCGAGAGGCAGTGGGTGATGACCCTTCGGCTGATCCCCGACATGTCCTCCGGCCCCCATGCAAAAACAATGGAGTAGGCGCGGAGGGCGCTTTATGCTGGTCTTCAGGGAGCTTGGCTCCAATCTTCACGACTCTCTCCGGCTTGGCCGGATCGAGCGCGAAGTCTTCTACCTCCTCGGCTGGTTCAGCCCTCGGGCAAGCTTTTGGTTCCCCCTTGAGTAACTGATTCCCCCCTCGGCTGGGAACTTGAGGCAGAGGTGCCTCATGGAGATGACGGCTTCGAGATCCTCGAGGGCTGGCCGGCCGAGGATGATGTTGTGGGCGCAGTCGATGTTGACGACGACGGACTCCACTTCGAGCTTGGCTCTATGGAGCCCGTCGCCGAAGAGTACCGGGAGGGTTATAACCCCCTCAGAATCAATGGTGTCGCCGGTGAAGCCGGCAAGAGGGGTCTTGATGGGCCGAAGGGACCCCCTCTCCAGGTGCATCTCTCTGAAGGTGCTGAGGTACATTACATTGACGGAGCTGCATGTGTCAATGTAAGTTCTGTGAATAATGGTGTCATTTATTTCTGTCCGGATGACGAGGGCATCCCTGTGTGGGGAGGATACTGGGGGGAGATCAGCGTTAGTGAAGATAATGGGTTCCTCCCTTAGCCGCTTTACTGGGGGCATATGAGTGACTTCCCCCACGTAAAGTGATTGGGCCCACTTCTTTCGTTGACTCATAGAATCACCCCCGGTATTGCCCCCGTGATCATGAGGATGTGGCGCTTCTTCTCTTGGTACCGGGGGTATTCCTCCTCCTCTTCTTCCAGGTTCCCAATATCCCTCTTTTTGCCGAGGGGGATGGTGTTGGGGTTGACCCATGCATTTGCTCTCGTAGTTTGCCCTCGGGTTGGCCCTTGGTGAGGGGGGCCCTGTTGCTGAGGGCCCTGGATAAACTGGGATAGATGGCCCGCTTGTATCAACCTTTCGATGGCCGTCTTCAGCTGATGGCAGTCATCGGTCATGTGCCCCTGGTGTCGGTGGAAACGACAGTAGGGGTAGTTTGGATTGATGGCGAATACTTTCGGGGGTGCACGTGAATCTCGCTCCACCAGGCCCCTCTCCTCAGCAAAATCCAGAATGACGCTGACGGGGTGCGTCAAAGGTGTCTGAGGGTGCTCTAGGAGGACAGGCTGTGCCCAAGCCCTCGGGTTCCCTTTGTAACCTCCCCCGGGCTTGGCTTGCCCATGCCGGGGGCGATCACCGGAGGGGGCAGAATCCTTAGGATGATTACGGGGAGCCCCCGGCCCCCGGTTACCTCTGTCGTCTGGCCGAGGGCGCTGCTGATCCGGGACGTGGTGGCATTTCTCCACCTCCTCGGCTTCGGCGTACCGGTCCCCCCGCTGTAGGGCCCTTATGTAATCGCGGGGAGGCTCGATGATGAGGCTCCTTGAGAAGTTCCCGGGGCGCAGTACTGTTTGTAGGAGGGCCAGGAGGGTTCCGTCGTCAGCGCCATCAACTTTATCAGCCTCCGTTCTCCAGCACTCCAGGAAGTCCCGAAGGGTCTCCTCCTTCCTCTGCCTCACTGTTAGCAAGTGGGAGAAGTGTTTTCTTGTGTGGCGCCTTCCCGCAAATTGCGTCAAGAATCGCTGGGCGAGTTCTTGCCATGAGTCAATGCAGCCCTCGGGCAATCGATTGAACCATTCGTAAGCCGGCTCCTCTAAGGTGGAGAGGAACCAGCGGCACAAATATTCATCCGATGCCCCCACCATCATCATGCTATTTTGATACCTGCTGTAGTGCTCTTGGGGGTCAGTCTTTCCGTCGTAGGGCTTGATGAGCTGCCCTCGGTATTTTTCCGGGATCCGGGCCGCCAATACCCTTGGGGTAAATGGCGTCCGGGTCCGGAGCTGTATGGTGGGTTCCCCGGAGCCCTCGGCTATCTTCTTCTGCATTTCCTCCATCTTGGCCAACATCGCCTCATACTTGAGGTTTGCATGAGGGGCAGAAGTGGCGGCGTGTGCTTTGGTGGCCTCCATCTCGTCAAACCGACGCTGGAGGGCCGCAATGATTTCGTCCCGGGGGTCGTTTGGGAGGGCCTCCGCCCCCTGCGAATGGACCCGGGCCAAGTGGGTCTGGTTGATTTGGTGGCGGGCGTCGTTGGCATGAAGAGGTGTCTTGCCTTTGTCCTGAGGGGGACGCCTTTCATTGGCCCTGGAGACGGATCCGTCACTTTCCTGAGGCCTCTGGAACGTTTTCTCCCCGAGGCAGTCTTGGACCCCTCGGCGGTCTTGCGCTCCTCCGAGTCTCTCGAGGGTGGAGGTCCGGAGTTGTTCTTTATTCATATTGTGGCGGTCCCGGGACTGGACTTCCTGGGAGGCCATATCTTGGGCCACGTTGTGGAGTTCCCAATCCAGAGGACCGGGTTCCCGAGGGGATGTGGATGAGGGGGAGGCATAATATTCTCCCCGACCTGAGGTTGGAGGGGAACCAAAGTGCCGAAGGCACCCGGGTTCTGGGTGAGCGTCTGGATGAAGGCGGAGAGCGCCGATTGCACGTCGATTGTGATGACCGAAGGGCAAATTTGATTCTCGCTCCGGTCCTTCTTCTTGGCCTCGATGCTGAGGCGGGCATCGGGGGCATTCTGTTGAATTTGTTGGCGTAGGTCAACAGCCATCTGGTCCAACCCGGCGATGACACCGCCCCCGGGAGCCCTGTTGGAGGCTTCGGGGACGTCGACCTCGCTGAGGGTTAGGTTCCTGTCCTCTACATTCTTGGAGTTGGCACGAGTTGTTCTCACCATTTTAGCTAGGTGTTTTGTGTTTGGTCGAGGGGAAGGATTTCTTACTTGATTGTTCGACCTCTCGACGAGAGCACCAAATGATGGATAGTGTACCCGGGGTAGCTTATCCGAGGGGTTATTACGAGGAATAACTAGAGAGAAGTCAGAGCAAGTAAGTAGAGAGAGAGAGTATATTAGAAAATGTGTTCAGCGTTTTCAGCGTGGTTTACAACGGGGAAATGGGGTGCTATTTATAGTAGTAATAAATGCCAGATAGGGACACGTGTCAAGCACCTATTGGTCGAGGGGTCACCTCAACCGGTTGGCGCTGGCAACCGCATGTGGCCACATTTAATGCGGTTGTTGGATGTGACGTCGTACTGGGTACGGTGATCTATACGCATGTGGAGCGGATATTATGTCGGAAAAGGTGCCCTCGACTGTAGGTGATTAGCCGAAGGCTCTGAGTACCGGGGACCTCCTTAGTGCCGAGGGCTACTGGTTTTCACCGTTTTCTCCCAGTAAGTTTGTTTTCCTATTTTGATCCTCCTGTGAGAATCAGGTCCTTCGGCCAGGAGGCCGAAGGCACTCCTAGCACTCACTGTGAGCCGCTTGGTACTCTGAGCGCCGTGATTTGGGCCTGTTGTGCTTCCTGAGCCTGTTGTGCCTTTATTGGAGTAGTAGGAGTCTGTGACCGGGGGTTCCCAGGCCATATACTCCATCATATAATATATGTTAATATATAACACAGGTAATTATATACCTGCGTTATAATATATTAACGCAGATATGCACTACTTCATTCACAAGTCACAACGCACGCTGTAGCTATGTAGCACAGCAATGCAAAAATCATGAGGAAACAGTAACATGGAGAATTTTTGAATAGTTTAGAAAGTACTCTTACCCGTTTGCTAGACAGTGATATACAAATTAAAAAAAAATCTTTTGCCATCCACTTAATGCAGAGCTAGTTTTATCTATAAATTTTCAGAACTTGTAATGCAGAGCTAGTTTTATCTCTAAGAGAGCCAAAAGCACCATGGCATTGCACAACACTTGGATTCATTCACATGTTGCACATGGAAGAGTTACTGTGGCGGTTGTACTCGTCATCTTACAACCAACCTATTCTCCCCTTATATCAATTAATCCGGAACACTACTACTTCACCTCCATTCCTAAACCATTCATCCTTACATGACACCTGGTAGGAACAAGCATTTATGTCATTGGTACCAGGTTATGGGAGTGGATACGTTCTGGAGAGGCTGTGGGACCATGCAGTGTTGTTGTTGCCACTGCTGCCACCCTTCATTCCCAGCCATTACTGAAGCAGATGCATCATGGATACCCCTTCCCTCAGCAGCAATGTCATTGTCTTCAACCTCCATTGTTGCTCCCTCAAGTCTTCAGCATCCATCATCATGTCTTCGCTAATGTCAGTTTGGGATGAAACACAATGAGGTCCTCCTGATGTGTTTAACTGAGATGGCACCCATGGAACTACAGCTAAGCACTCATCAGAGTTGCCCATTTCTTTTGCTTCTTCATCCTCAGCTTGTGCCAGTGAGTAATAAGATTGTCTTCTCCATGGTGCATGATCTAATCAAACACAACGCACTCTGTAGTTAGTTAGTATTCCAGAAAACCAGAACAAGGCATGTCAATTATTCCATATTATGTTATTATACTCCGTGTAACATAAAAATGATACTGCTAGCATGAACTTATGGCAGCGGGAACATGAACACCACACATTTGAAGAACAGCATTTTCAGAGCCAATATTAGAAACTTCATTTCTAGTTCTCTTTGATACTTACAAAATCAACCAAAAGTCTAACACTAAAGCTGGTTCAAAAAGTATCTATGGCTCAAAGATTGTTACAACATTATGATTTCTTTTAAAGAATGTTTTTTATTTTATTTTATAATATATATATATTATACGCCTCATTTATAAACCTCATTGCGCAATGAGGCTTCCACAATTCACCATTCTAAAAATTTGCCATGACTACCCAATACACAATTTCAAAACTTGATAAATAACCAGTTCCAATCGCATATTATTTCCTCTTTCACTATCATATTGCATAGAAGAAAAGTAATCAGTTACCATTATCTCATCATAAATCTGAATTTCAACAACAACCTGAGCTCAACAAGGGTGAGGACAATTTTATTACTGACATTTGAGAATTGAAAATTCAGCACTTACTTTTCAACCGAGAAATGAACTGAGGATCCACCTTAACAGAGAAATTCTGAGGAGATTGAAAGAGAGCTGTCTCAATTGGCTTAAAAAGCACAATAGCAGTCTCCTTATCAAAGGGCTCATTTGGTAATTCCTCAATCTCTACGCCCCTTCCTACATGGCTTCCGAAGCTCTGCCCACTGGGATATGGCTCAAATTCTGCTATCGGAACGTCTTGGTAATCCTCGACCTCTTCTAATATGGGAGGCAACTCAGCATCCTGAAACATTTTAGAATATTCTGCTCAGCTACGATCTGGTTTTAGCACAACATAAGTTCAACTAGCTAGTTGCTTGTAATTAATTTAACAGTTTGCTATTCTAATTCCATATACACACGCACACAAGAAATCACAGAATTCAAAAGTACCAGACGGCGGATTTTTCTAGCGGGGGCAGAAAGGGAAAAATCGGAGAACTCGTCGGACACTTGTTCGAGGTCCTTCCTTTTCATCTTCAGCGGGCAATTACTCTCCATCTTCATCTTCTTCCCCTCCTAATCTTAGGAATGAGCCAAAACCGGAGGCCAATTTTTCTTCTTCAAAGCGCAATTTCTTCAAAACCCTAATTATAATTAGAGAGCCGCGAATCTAATTTCACTGTATTATTATAGCTCGAACCCGTGAATTCGAATGGGGTTTAAAGAATGAATGATTGATCTGCAAAATTAACCGCGGTTTCGAGGTGATGAAAGTTTATAGAGGGGTTTCAGGGTGGTAATGGAGGGAACTAGAAGAAATATTTCACTCTAGAAGTCTCCAGATGTTGCGAGTGAGACTGCAGACCCTTTTTGCCTTTTTTGTCTTGTCTTTTTAATCTTTTTTTTTGAAAACAATCTTTGTTTATTTACAATAATAGTTAAAGACTGTTGTAGAAAATACAAAAAAACTTAGTATACCACATTTATCATAATACGGAATACTAAATTTATCAAAAATTTAAGAGTATTGACATTTCCGATATGATATCCTCTATGTTTTGAAAATAAAAAGAATATTTATATACAAAAAGTTGTATTGAAATATTTTATTTAAATTATAAAAATGATTAGATACACTACATCATCTTAGGGATAAATGAATTTTATTCATGTTATTTGAACAATTTAACTTTTTGTTTGAGATCACTGTTGATGTGATCAGGACCGTTTGTTAGGGTATTCAATAGGTTATCCAGAATACGCCCCCCATATATAAGGCTCTAGATTTTTAAAAATTTATTAGTACTAATATTATATAGTAATATTATACTCAGTATATTAATAACAATCAGTGAAATACAAAAAAAAGGATGACACCCCATCCTTGAGGGCCTTCAACCCCGACCGGACGGTACGTTGGGAGGATGTAAATTGGACTATAATCTCAATCTGACAGATAGGGAGTGAGGCTCTGTCCCCGGTACTAGTAGAGGCCATATGCATTTTTATCATAGTAACCCCTCATCGCAGTTGCTGGGATTCGAACCCGGGACCTAACCCTTGTGGCACTCCCTTGCTACTAGTTGAGCCACGCCCACTGGTTAATCAGTGAAATACAATTACTAAGGAAGAAAAATATAGATCCATCATTATTTCCGTTGGTCCTTTTACTCTTTTTGTTCTATTTTAATGAGTATTCAATTGATTTGAGTATAAGTATTTGGATTGACATTTTTCTAAATTTCTTATATTAATCCGGGGCCTCGATTTTACATTTAGAACCGGGGGGCTCCAAATTCATTAGACGGCCCTAGATCTAATAGGTTACTTTTAGGAGAATGTGTAGTTTTTTTATATGCGGTACGTTGGAGTATTTAAATATACTAATTATAATTATTGTTCAATATTGAATGAGACATAATAAGTTATTGCTAAGTATTTGTTTGAGAGCGGATCACATGAAAATTCCTCTAAATCAAAGAAACTGCGGCAAAGTATTTAAATGTTGTAAATATTATGTATTTGTCTTGAATGCATTTATGCTAAAAAGTATATGATATCAAGTGTTATCCCTTGTTTTCATGGTAGTCTCGTACTTAAGTTATCACATAAAGCTATATTATTATTTTTTATAAAAGTTATATATTTGATTTTATAAGTTAAATTTAACAAATTAATAGTTAATCAGGAAAAAAGTGTCTCAAATGCATTCACGAGTCAGTAAATATAAAATCATAGAATATCAAGTGCTAGTTATTATCTTCATAAATCATAATTTCATAGTTTTCTCATATTTCTGTAGTTTATCACTACGAAGCTATATTTTATTTAGGGTTGTCGAGCTATAAGTTATAATATGTTTTTTTATAAGTTACTTTATTGATTCTATTAGTCAAAACTTCATAGTCTTCAGTCAAAAACACACTTCTCACATGATCTTTTCCCTTAATGTATTTTATAATTTTTTAATAATGTATTAAGTATTCGCTAGTAACACTCAATTTTGTATATTTTGTTCGTGTGTGATAATTTGTTGTATTTATTTAGAGACATGCATGTTAATTTACTGATATCGTATCTTTATCGAATAAAAATTTCAGTATGCCCGAATGCGATATACTGGAATTTTGGTAAGATAATGATATATAATTTTTGTATACCGAAAGTTTCGATACGTCAAAGCTATGAGATAAAAGAAATTACTCCAAACTACACAACTCAATATAATGAATTAGTCATCTTTTAACTATTCGCAATTAAAAGAAATTATTATAATATTAACGTGGATAAGAAATTATTTTTATGATATCAATAATTGTGTGGTTCACAATTACCCCCTAATCTAGAGGACATTACATCTTCTCCTATACATAAGAGTATTCTCCTTCATTGTAATTACACATCTAAGAACAACTTAATCATCAAGTCTTTATAAAATACTTTCTCTCCCTACTTTTCCACTACTTCTTTTCTCCATTTCATAACAGTTATGTAATAATAGGGCTTGTTGGACTTGGGATATTGGATCTTGGCATGCTATGCACCGTTTCAAAAGCCCAATACACTAGCCCGCATGAAGTCCGACCAGTGAGGCCCATTTCTTCCTTTTCGCACCAATTACAATAAGATTGTACCTCCTGACTCTATTAATGGCTGCTCTAGCCTTATTATTGCACAATATAAATCGTGAGGAAAATATTAATAAAAAAAGAGTGGTTTGGACATTAGCCCAAAAAGTCTCATAGTTTTCACTTTTTCAGATTTCCATATTAAAATTGAGTGTTCTTATTGTTTTATACATTTAGATATATTGTTTGTCTTGAATTAGTTTCAACACTAGTGTCGTCTGTGTTAACATATTTAATATTACTCTTGTTAAGTAACTAACTAATTCAATATTGTGTTTTAAAATTCAACGACATATCCCTTTATATTTTGATAGTTAAGAAATTGACTGAAATAGTATTAATAAAGTTGGTGAATTCTAAAATAAAACTATTCTATTTGATTTCCTAAATAAAACTATTAGTAAAGTAACTAACTAATCCAAAAACTACTTCCTTTATATTTTTGGATACTATGAAGCTTTGAACAAGACTTTATTTTCCTAGTTTGACAATAGCTACTCCTATCCTAGGAATTTTCCCTTGATCATTTTGATAGTTTAGTGCTCTGATATGAGCAAAATGCTTCACTTGATCATTTACTTTCCATCATTTTCAATGGAGCCAAAGACTCACTATTTTTTGGCTTGAAAATACGATGAAATAAAGCAAAATGCTTCTCTAAACAGTATGCACTTCTTTGTTATGAAGTAACAGTCAGTCTATGCAATTTTTGATGCAATTCTAAAATGCTTTAGTACAGAGGTAAGACTGCGTACATCCGACCCTCCTTAACACATCATAGATGGGAGCCTTTGCGGCACAGGGGTAATGATGATGATGATAATGATGAGTGCTCTAATAAATTTTATCTCATTTAACCTTATACTCCATCCGTCCCGAAATAATTGTCCTGCTTTCATTTTCGGTCCGTCCCGAAATTATTGTCTCCTTTCCTTATTTGGTAAACAAATCTATACAAAACAGTGCAAAACAGTGCCAAACAGTGTCGCTACTGTGCCAAACAGTGTCGCTACAGTGTGAAGTCAACTTTGTTTTCTTAATCTGTGTGAAGGTCAAAACAGAACGATTATTTCGGGACGGAGGGAGCACTTTATAATGATAGGTTAATACTTTATTGAGTGTTTTTTCAAAGTTCGGGGATTTGATTGATTTTTAAAATATGATGACCTAATTGGCTAATTGACTTTTTTTTAGAGTAGATGACCAAATTGGCAGTTTTCTCTAATTTAAACTAATATTGATATTTAAAATTTTGATATTTAAATATTACATTAATTTTTTTTTGAAGGAAAATCACATTTGAATTTGACAAAAATTAATACATATAGAATTAGTGAAAAAACTATCGAAAAAAAGGATTAGAGAAGAAATAAATAGATCACATGAAAAATATATAACCATGTAAATTCGAGTGGTAAATGTACAATACACTTCCTAACCCAGGATATTTTTACTTGATCTAGTCTAATCTGATAGATGTGTGATCTCTGTGTACTTCACAAATGTCTCAATTTGGTCTGATTAGCTACGGTTTATTGCGATCTGATTTGTTCTGTTCTGGTTTGGACTAAAAGCCGCCTGAACATATGGTTTCAAATTTATTAATAAAAATGATGTAAATATAATAAAGAGTATGAAAAAGGTTTATTCAGCTTTCACATATGCAAGTACGATTATCCCTTCAATACCATCTTTAATCCTCATTATTTAAGCATATCTTCTGTAACACCCCGGCCTCGCAGGACCCGAGGTAGCTACTTTAGACCACCACGAGCCTTTACCGCGCACTTTGTCCTCACTCATGCGCGCCCTGAGAAACTTCCCAGGGGGTCACCCATACCAAGACTACTCTCGTGCAAGCACGCTTAACTTTGGAGTTCTTGGGTGATGAGCTCTCTTAAAAGGAGATGCACCTCTGTTGGTATGAGTAGTACTATTAATCCTCTTAAATTAATCTCGGGTATTACAATCACCCCACTTAGGATCGCAACGTCCTCGTTGCGCCCTTAAACCAATCTTAATCAAACCCCAGAATCTGCCCCGCTAAGTGCCCGCCCGATATCCAACGGGTCAACACACGGTCGCAGGGTTGCTCTGATACCATTTGTAACACCCCGGCCTCGCAGGACCCGAGGTAGCTACTTTAGACCAATAGTACTGTCCTCACAAACCACCACGAGCCTTTACCGCGCACTTTGTCCTCACTCATGCGCGCCCTGAGAAACTCCAGGGGGTCACCCATCCCAAGACTACTCTCGTGCAAGCACGCTTAACTTTGGAGTTCTTGGGTGATGAGCTCCCTTAAAAAGAGATGCACATCTGTTGGTATGAGTAGTACTATTAATCCTCTTAAATTAATCTCGGGTATTACATCTTCATTTGGCACAATTACAAATAAAGTGATTGGAAAAACAAAAAATGTATTTGAGATTTGAGTGTAATAAAGTCAAATGTTGTAGACCACATATTTCTTTCCAAAAAAAGAAAATGTGCACTTACTTTGGACAATCCAAAAAGGAATGTAAGACAAATAAAATGAGACTTAGGAATTATTATTATTATTATTATTATTATTATTATTATTATTATTACTATTACTATTACTATTACTATTATTACTATTATTACTATTATTACTATTATTATTACTATTATTATTACTATTATTATTATTATTATTATTATTATTATTACCTCCGTCCCGGTAGGCTTTGCCAATTTCGATGTAGGTGAGAAATAAGAAAGTAATAGTTGTGTGGTTGAGGTTTATGAGGAGACAAATGAGCAAAACTACAAATTAGTTATTTTAATTAGAAAGTTAAAGTTTTTTTGGACAACCAAAAAGGAAAAGTTGGCAAAGTCAAATAGGATGGAGGAAGTATTATTTATTTTTTACTCTAATGTCATAGATTCATATTAGTCGATCCCAAACTCATTTGAATTAAGTCTTGAAAGTTGTGGTTGTTGGCTTTACATATATTAACTTTTGTTGGCCCATAATGAATATGTGAAATATATGTCCAGTTCACTATTTTCAGTCACATAAATTATGCAATGCAAAGTTTATTGTATCATTGTGCAATATACATATTTAACTTGACAGTGATACACACATTGGATGCATACATAGAAAGCACATAATGAGATATATGCTCAGGTTTCCTCATCCACATGTTTTTTTTTTTTGCAAGATCATCCACATGCTTCTTAAGAGTTGTCTTCATTATCAGGGCAGAGCAAGAGAATTATGGAAGAATAGCTTAGCATGGGGTACATGTTGGCATCAAGAAAATGAGCGTACTGTTTTATTGCCCCTTTCTTATCTGGAAGATCATCGGAAAGAAAATCGAACGGAGCTTGCTTGCCCGTGTCCACCAAGGGGTACCACCTATAACCCACTCGTTCTGGCAGTGTAACCGTCACAGGCAGATGGCTTGCATTAAAGGCAGCATATATTTCTCCCTTAACTTTGTCAACCTGCAAGTGACTCAGAAAGTGAACAAAGAAGCATACGTGTGGTGGCCTGGAGATGCAACCAATATGATGAGTGCAATACTCAACACATATATTGATATATATTTGCTCAATTTAATCTTTACTACCTTTGCATCCCACTTTTTAACCAGTTTTCCCACCCTCGAGTCATAAAGGTAAATTCTAATATAAATTTTGGGGGTTACAGAGCAAGCTCAAATAAATTAAAAATGGGATGCAAAGCTCAATATCGAGGCAAACATGGGTTGCAAATTCATCAAGTAATCTTTGGTCTTAAATTCTTAATACTTCATATATCCCTTATCACATGATTTGATACCCAACTGCTTACTGTAATAGCTTTATTGAGAGCTCAATCGGTAGAAATGTCAATAAAACAATACCAGTGTAAAAGCCACAAAGCGACTAGCTTCAGACCAATCTGGCATCCCTGGAGCATGACCATGCCATTGTAGCCGCTCTGCCATCGGGAAATCATCTAAACCAAGTGACTCGGCTTCACTGGAAACCACAGAAAGTAGTGAGTACTTAAAGAAGGTATAGCATGAAATTGAAAAACCATGCAAAATAATATACTTACTGCCGGAACTTGGTCATGTGGCAGCAAAATCTGAAAAAATCGGTAGACGATTCCTCCTTCTTGTCCCATCTGAAGTAGTTAATCTAGATCCAGAGAGAAAAAACTTTGGAGTTGTACCTTTTAATTATAGGACAAATGCAATTCAATAAAAAGACATAACGTGGTTACATAATTATCATGACAATATGTATTGTTGTTTCCTCCTTTTGTGTGGCCATACTCGTCACCCATATAGAACATCGGGACACCCTGAAGTAAAAATAGTAAAAAAGCAGAAAATTTTAAACTAAAGAAAATAACTAGCTAGCAATAACATGTTATAAAAAATTATAGCAATTTTAGTCAAAATGCTTTATCTACAGCCAAAACTAGAATATTTTAATTTTTCAGGAACTATAATGTCGTTACATGGTATATTATCAGTTGGGGAATGTAACACCAGAATGATACGTAAGTTACATCAATCAACTTCACTTAAGTACTCCAGCCAAAGGTGTTTATGTGCAAATAATTTCTTTCAGAACTCAAAATCATATACTTGCTTCACATGTATAAAAAACACAGGCGAAATCATCCTTATATCAATGAAATATTGCTGCTACTCTACCATCATGCTTTTGGATTATGAGTATATATTTAAATTGTTTGACATTATGATATGTAAGTTGAACCTGTGACCTGCCAATTATTCATGTGATTACGTGTTCGACTACGAGCTTTATAACACCTAGAACATTGATAAGTGATGTTCTTTCTTTTATGAGCAATTAGGATTTCAAATCTCCAAAACCTATATTGGACCAGGTTGCTAGAAATACTGACCCTAAGAGTCAACGCAAAATATATATTTGACATCTTTTTATCTTAAAATTAAAAATAATACAATTAATGCCATATGTTCACTTATTCCTCAAAAACATATTGGCTCGAATTAACAATGAACTAACTACTTAGAAATGGTTCAGTAGTTTCTCAATTTTATCAATTTCACACCAGTAGTTCCTAATGTTTATGAATTCAAGTGCAAGATGAGCAGCTTAACATGCTAAACTAGAGCAAGGGGTAACCTCCTAACATGGGTTTAGATTGTATACATTTTGCCAGAATTAATTGCATGATATAGTTTGTTTTTTCCTCTAGTTCAACATTTGGTGACTACAGACATAGCTGAAAGAGGTCTGGGAGTAGCCTGGGCACTAGGGAAACTGAGATGATTAGGATAGATGTACATCTAAATTTATGAATTGTTGGAATGGTGTTGACTTAGAACTTAAAGGGTTTGATCTAATCTTTGGTGAAATTGAAAGATCATCATTCAAAGTGAGCACAGCCTTGATTGCTCACTATCATGTGATCCTAGCGCATGTCTTTCGTTTTCATACAAGCTCTTTAATCCACCTCCACTTGTTTTCTTAGTATTCATTTTATCAGTGGCTACATGTTCAATCAAATTAAATTTTACAAGTAATATAGGCCATTACAAGTTCAACACTAATATCTACATTTTGCTGTGTGAAATTAGAGGTAGATTAAGCGTTTGTCAGACATCTCAATGGAAATTTCTCTTTTAGCTGGAAAGTTAAACTAAGGGTCAATCTGAGTGGTAATCAAATATTGATGGGAAAACTTGACCGGGCTAAACTTCCAAGTGTACAAGTGCCGATATAGGAATAAATTCCGGTAAAATACCGGGTCGAATCCACAGGGAAACGTTGTTTAGTTCAAGTCCGAGAGTAGATAACTTTAAATAAAGAAATGAGTAAAGTGCAGAGATTTTGATTTGTGTGTTGTGTGAAAACAACAACTTAGTTCTTCTCTTTAATTTTCAGAGATATAACTTAAATTAATTTGAGTTTAAAGTGATTGATAACAATAACCAAGGCTTCGGGAATCACTTAAAGGCTTTAATAGGGTTGAATATTAGTTCTTTACCAATAATTATGAATATGATGTCGCTAATATATTCTCAACTCCGGTTAAGGCAGCGAGAGCGTGGTTTTCGTTACGTGTAAGTCCCGTTACGGCTTACATTAATCTACCGAAAACCCCGTTGAATATCAAGACATCACACCCGTATCATATAAGACCGAATATATTTCTATTCTCAGTACTATATATGTTTATCCTTTAATGTTCATAGTTTAGACTTCAACGTTAATTGCAAGTATAAACTAAATTTAACATATTTCTATGTTGTACACCATAGTCATAAACAATCAAAGTATAAAGGATAAATCATAAATTATTGGTTTAGAACTTTTAACAAACACCTAGTGGGCATAGAAGTTCATCCCTAGTCTTAGCTAAAAAATTAGCCTCTAATGCTCATATTAATCAAAATACAACAATAAATGTAATGGAACATGAAATTACAAAGGAAATACTCCCTCCGTCCCCCTGTTATTGTCCCATTGCGGTTTACGATGCTTGACCGAAAATAAAGCAAACAGATCCCTTTCCACACTCAAAATAGTTTTAGAAAAAAAAAATTACATATTCAGAAACTACATTAAAAGATTTACAAAGTCACAAAAACCAGAATCAAAGTTGATAAAATTTTGATACATAAAGTAAGAGATTAAGAGTGATTTGTGTTGACCAAGTGAATAGTAAATGGGACAATAATAGAGGGACGGAGGGAGTAATACCTAAACACCAATGATTTCGGAGGATGAACTTCCCTCCTCAAGAACTTGAAGAAAATACCACGAACAAAAATATAAATGCTAAGAATTAATCTATGGAATGGAATGTCATTGCTTGATGAATTGAGGACTTTATATAAGCTAAAGAATGACATCTTTTAGTCTATTCGAACCCAACAATCAGGTATGGAAGCAATATTTGATTAGCATTGAGGAAGATGGAGTTTTCCCATCAAGAATCAGCTTGCACGATGCTGTGTTTTAACAGAAGATCGACCCAACCGGCGCAGATTCTGGCCTGACCGGCGCCGGTTCTCTGTAGTTTTCATGAATTAATGAACCAACCGGCACCGGTTCCCTGATGACGGACACCAATCATTGCGCTAAAAAAATGTGCTTCCTCTTTCTTCTTATTTCCGTGTCCGTGATTGATCCAGAAATGCCGATTTTCGATCCATTTTGACTTTTGATCCCGTATTTGTCACTTCTAGCCATATTCCACACTTTTGCTCACTTTGGAATATTTACCTATTTTCGCTCTATATTTTTGTACAGATAAATATAATTACCAATGTAAATAAAACATAAGTAATTATTGTGCTTATCAAATTCCCCCACACTTGGGCGTTACTAGTCCTCGAGCAATGTTGTCATCTTTGAATGTCTTGGTTAGTTCAACAAAAATATATATACAAGAATAATTTTGCTTTTAAGAGAGATAAAAACGTATATACTCTTTTATCATTCTCGGTCCAAAACCCCTTTTCTATTACACACACAAAAATATAATTAGATTTAGAAAAATTACTTATACTCTTGAATTGATGAATGGGTTGTGACTGAGGCTTTTTGGATGTGTAGAATGGTCTTCTTTTGGGAGTTTTGACTTTTCAGTATAGAAATGGATCAATTGAAATTCTTGGAAAAGACCACGAGCTTCTTTTTTTTAAACTCATTTGGAATGGTTCTCAACAAGTATTTACTGAAAGTCCCAAATTATTTGATGAGATATGTGGGTGCCTTGTATTCCAAAATGTTTTTTTGTAATATTTGAGATGTATCTAAACCATTTTGGGAGATGAAAGAAGATGATGTGTCCTAGTCACAAGGTTTCTTTTTGAGAATGATTTTCAAGAGTAAGAAGTAGTGTAATAAATCTAACAAAAAATGATATTTTTGTGAGTAATAATTAAAAAAAAAACTTCCTCAACCAAATACACATTAAAAAGAGACATACAACAATTTTTACGTTCCCAAAAACAAAAATATTTTGCACAAAAAAATTTGTTTACCACCATTAGATGCAACCCCCCCACACTTAAGATACATTGTCCCAATGTATGATGATGCATGATAAACAATTACTTCAATCAACATCCACAATAAAGTGTGTCTAGAGAAGATTGTATCACAAAAAATAGCAACAAAAGGGGTTCAGTATTGTGGACCGGGAGGGGGGTTCCCATATTAACCGTAATAGTGTTGGGTAAATTACTCGAATCTTCGGTCATATCCTTCCAAATGCTCCTCGATTCTTGCCTGGCAGGCCTAAAAAGAATCATACCGGGTGTAAAGTTCCTCTTGCCGAGTCTCATAGACATTCATCCTTGTGTGCATGCGGTCAATGAGTCGATGAGATAGTCAAGGCTCTGTGTCATGGTCTGTCGTGGCCGGACTGCCGGTTGTGGTTGGGCTTCTTCATTTCCACCCTCCTGCTCCTCATCATCCCCTTCTTCCCATCGAACCCATGTGTTTCCCACCTTTTTGTAATGGAGGGAGACCATGGTGCTTGCATTGAGAACTTGTGATCCGGTTGTGTACCTCACCTTTTCATTTGAAAGGTCAACACCGAAGCTCCTGAAGATCATAGTAAGTAAAAGAGGGTAAAGAAAATTTGTATCACCTCTTTTTGTTTTGACTACGCTTCTCATGTCCATCATGATGAGAAGGGCCAAATGAATGTCTGGAATGTGTCCGAGCCCGGTGACCATCTTGTGCAAAAGTTAGAGGTCTACCCGCAGAACGAGGTGTGTGTCACTAGCCCGTGGCAAAATGTTGAAACCGAGGAGGTACACGATGAGTCGTTCCCGAACATTGAAATCCTTGCCCTTAAGCTCCCTATCGAGACAAAATAATTGCATAGCTCCTATCTCGTCATAGGCGAGGTCACTTAACACCACTTTAGCGTTCATCGAGAAGGGAGTACCTACGTCGACGATGTTAAGTAGGTTGCACATTTGGCGTTCGTTCACCGTGATTGTCGTGCCTTTGACGGTGCTCACGATGTCACCATAGGTGTCATTCTTCCTCTCAATGTTAGCATAAAATTCCCGCACAAGCCGCGAGTAATATGCTCCGATCAGAGTGAGCATGATAGCCCACCCTAGCATATCAAACGCCTTTGAGATCCAGTAGAGTTCGTTGGGTTGAGGGTCCACGGTCTTCTCGATAACAATTTTCAAGTTCTTTCTCTTCTCGTACCATGCTTCATTCTCCGGGGAGGTGAAACGTGGTATGGAAGAAGAAGAACTAGCACCATTCTTTCTTTTGGGAGGCATTGACCTGCATAATTAGTTCAACACATACGCAACACGACATATATTCACGCATAACCGGCGCCGGACACACCCCCAACCGGCGCCAGTCGGTCCGATTAAAACAACACCCAGGTCGCGCACCAGACCTTATTTTCGAACCCCTCCCCAAATTCTTGAGAGCTTATCGCCGGAAAACACCCCAGGCACCCCAAATCTGCGCCGGTTGGGGGTGTGTCCGGCGCCGGTTATGCGTGAATATATGTCGTGTTGCGTATGTGTTGAACTAATTATGCAGGTCAATGCCTCCCAAAAGAAAGAATGGTGTTAGTTCTTCTTCTTCTTCTTCCGTACCTCGTTTCACCTCCCCGGAGAATGAAGCATGGTACGAGAAGAGAAAGAACTGGAAAATTGTTATCGAGAACACCGTGGACCCTCAACTCAACTAACTCTACCAGATCTCAGAGGCGTTTGACATGCTAGGGTGGGCTATCATGCTCACTCTGACCGGGGCATATTACCCGCGGCTTGTGCGGGAATTTTATGTTAACATTGAGAGGAAGAATGACCCCTATGGCGACATCATGAGCACCGTCAAAGGCATGACAATCACGGTGAACGAACGCCAAATGTGCAACCTACTTAACATCGTCGATGTAGGTACTCCCTTCTCAATGAACGTTAAAGCGGTGTTAAATGACCTCGCCTATGACGAGATAGGAGCTATGCAATTACTTGGTCTCAATGGGGAGCTTAAGGCCAAGAATCTCAATGTTCGAGAATGACTCATCGTGTACCTCCTCAGTTTCAACATTTTCCCACGGGCTAGTGACACACACCTCGTTCAGCGGGTAGACCTCTACCTTTTGCACAAGATGGTCACCGGGCTCGGATACATTCCAGTCATTCCTTTGGTCCCTCTCATCATGATGAGCATGAGGAGCGTAGTAAAGACAAAAAGAGGTGATAAAAATTTTCTTTACCCTCTTTTACTTACTATGATCTTCAGGAGCTTCAGTGTTGACCTTTCAAATGAAGAGGTGGAGTACACAACCGGGTCACAAGTCCTCAATGTGAGCACCATGGTCTCCCTCCATTACAAAAGGGAGATTTACCTTAATAGTACCAAAACATGGCTTTTTTCCCAAAATAGGACCAATTAGTTTAAACATTCTTAAATAGGACTTTATGTGTGATTGGACCAAAATACCCCCACTGCTGCCCCTGGACCTCCGGCCAGCCGCCTGCCGCCAGACCTCCGGCCACCACCGCCTGCCGCCAGACCTCCGGCCACCACCGCCTGCCGCCAGACCTCTGGCCACCGCCGCCGCCGCCGCCGGAGCACCGTCGGAAAATTCCAAAAAATATCTGGCTGACCGCCAGATTCTGCCGCAGCCACCTCCGCCGCCGCAATGGTGTTTATCAGAATTTATTGTTTATTTATTGTCTACTTATTGTCTATTTATTGTCAATTTAATGTCTGTTATTTTCTTGCCGCCGCCGGAAACCTCCGCCACTGCCGCCGCCGCCACCGGAAACCGCCTCTTCCGCTGCCGCCACCTCCAGACTACCTTGGTTGTGCAAGGAAACTAGGGGGGCAATTATTTAGATCAATTAATTAATTAAATAGAATTAGGGGTAAAAAAGGTAAGGTTAGTCCTATTTAGAGAAAAACATGCATGTGGTCCTATTTTGAGAAAAAGGTTGAGTTTTAGTCCTATATTGGACAATTTTCTCATTACAAAAAGGTGGGAAACACATGGGTCCGAAGGGAAGAAGGGGATGATGAGGAGCATGAGGGTTGAAATGAAGAAGCCTAACCACAACCGGCAGCCCGGCCACGACAGACCATGACACAGAGCCTTGACTATCTCATCGACTCCATGGACCGCATGCACACAAGGATGGATGTTTATGAGACTCGGCAAGAGGAGCTTTACACCCGCTATCATTCTTTTGAGGCCCGCCAGGCAAGAATCGAGGAGCATTTGGAAGGATATGACCGAAGGTTCGAGCAATTTACTCAACACTATTACGGTCAATATGGTAACCCCCTCCCGGTCCACAATATTGAACCTCTTTTGTTGCTATTTTCTGTGATACAATCTTCTCTAAACACACTTTATTATGGATGTTGATTGAAGTAATTGTTTATCATGCACATCATAGATTGGGACAATGTATCTTAAGTGTGGGGGTGCATCTCATGGTGGTTACACAAATTTTTAGTGCCAAATATTTTTGTTTGTAGGAAGGTAAAAATTGTTATATCTCTCTTTTTAATGGGTATTTGGTTGAGAAAGTTTTTTTTATCATTATTACTCACAAAAATATCATTTTTTGTTAGATTTATTACACTACTTCTTACTCTTGAAAATCATTCCCAAAAAGAAACCTTGTGACTAGGAAACATCATCTTCTTTCATCTTCCAAAATGGTTTAGATACATCTCAAATATTCAAAAGCAAAAAAAACCATTTTGGAATACAAGTCACCCACATATCTCATCAAATAATTTGGGACTATCAAAATGACTTTCAGTAAATACTTGTTGAGAACCATTCCAAACGAGTTTAAAAAAAAGAAGCTCATGGTCTCTTCCAAAAATTTCAATTGATCCATTTCTATACTGAAAATTCAAAACTCCCAAAAGAAGACCATTCTACACATCCAAAAAGCCCCCGTGACAACCCACTCATCAATTCAAGAGTATAAGTAATTTTTCTAAATCTAAAGATATTTTTGTGTGTAATAGAAAAAGAGTTTTGCACTGGATAAAAGAGTCTATATATGTTTTTATCTCTCTCAAAAGCAAAATTATTCTTATACTACCTTCGTCCCAAAAAACTTTGCTATTTGAAAAAATTTGAACATTAATTTTGATTAGTATAATATTATGGAAATTATAAATTTTATACTTTTATGAAAGTATTTTTAACAAAGAACATTTTCATTAAATTTTTATATTATAAATAATTTTCAATAAAAAGATATAGTCGGTCAAAGTTTTGAAAATGGAAAAGTTTTTTGGGACGCAGGTAGTACATATATTTTTGTTGAACTAACCAAAACATCCAAAGGTGACAACATTGCTCGAGGATTAGCAACGCTCAAGTGTGGGGGAATTTGATAAGCACAATAATTACTTATGTTTTACATAGGTAATTATATTTATCTGTACAAAAATATAGAGCGAAAACAGGTAAATATTCCAAAGTGAGCAAAAGTGTGGAATATGGCTAGAAGTGACAAATACGGGATCAAAAGTCAAAAGGGATCGAAAATCAGCACTTCTGGATCAATCACGGACACGGAAATAAGAAGAAAAAGGAAGCGCATTTTTGGCGCAATGACCGGCGCCGGTCATCAGAGAACCGGCGCCGATCGGGTCATTAATTCACGAAAACTACAGAGAATCGGCGCGGGTCAGGCCATAACCGGCCGGTTGGGTTGATCTTCTGCTACAACACACCATCGTGCAAGCTGATTCTTGATGGGAAAACTCCATCTTCCTCAATGCTAATCAAATATTGCTTCCATACCTGATTGTTGGGTTCAAATAGACTAAATGATGCCATTCTTTAGCCTATATAAAGCTCTCAATTCATCAAGCAAAGACATTCCATTCCATAGATTAATTCTTAGCTTTTATATTTGTTGGGTTAATGGCTCAATAAAGGCCGGCCCATTAAACCTTAAGGATCACCTACGAGCGTCCTACTAAAGGCCCAAGAAGAAGGTCAAGCACTAAGGATAGGGGGACGTACGTAGTCCGTCACCAGCCAGTATCAAGGCCCGAGGGTCAGGGGACGTACTTAGTCCCTCACCAGGAGGTATCCAGGCCCTGGGTCCCTGCGAAGTACTTGGGGACGGACGTCCCCACTTCTTAGTAGGGGACCAAGGGCGGCCCAAGGATAAGTCAGGGATAATAGCTTCAACAGAAGACGAACGTCCTCTCTCCCATTGGTAAATAATCGAGATCCCAACAGAAGACAACAGCCAAAGCCCTTGGGGACGAACGTCCCTACCCAATGGCGGGAAACAAAGATTCTAGCGGGAAGCGCATTAAATGTTGGAGATTTGGTGGTTGGGATCATGTCGCCGACAGCCAGCCACGTCAACGCTCCCAACTACCCCTGGAATAGTATAAATAGCAGCATTTATTTCATTGTAAGGGGTTGGTGATCCAGTATTCTAGCATTATAACATTAATAGCAGTTCGTAGCATAGCACAGTACGTTTGGCCCTTCAGCTTGTAACAGTTTGAGTCAGTAAACATAGTTGTTTGGCCCATTTCCGGCTTGTCTCTTCACCTTACTTGTCCATTACCCATTCAAAACCCCCAAGTTACGTGTTGGGCCTGCGGGTTGAGGGAATAAACCTCACCACTAGCGTCGTCCGTGAGAAACTGATCAAAAAGTTCTTTCAAACTAAGCTCTACACCGAAAAACTCCAAAACAATCACGAGACAAGTAAAATGGCTACTAACAACGCAAGGAACTCTCAAGACCTCTCTTCACGGCTGGCTTATAGCAGGAGGAGCCGCAACCAGGCGGCGGGGGACAGTCCAACAGCTTGTGGACTCACTGACCTGATCCCCCAGGAGCTCCGGCGTGACCCCGACGCCCTACGGGAAATCGCAGACACCATCCGTCGACTGACGGACCAACGAGAGGTGGAGCGCGTACATACCGCTAACACCGAGCGGATCCCGCTCTCGCCTATCCGTTCCATGCAGTCGTTCGACGAGCGTACTGGTGAAAATAACCATTCTCGCCGTTCGGTCCATACCAGGATCGCCAGGAATGTCCGTTCTCCGGATATGGGGGCATCGGAGGAGCCGAGCCTTTCGGAGAAACACAGCGTCACACGGTTCAGGACCCTACGCCAGTAATGCCCTGTAACGGGTGAGCAGCCAGGGAGCACACTCCCGTGATGGATGGCATGAGGCCGAAGGCCCGAGTCTACCATGGACAACACGGCTTCGGAATCATGCCAAAGGGGAACACCTTGGCAGTGGTGAACCCCACGCCCACTATGCCCGATCCGCGGGATGTCGTGCTCATGGAAATGCAGAGGCAGATCAATGAACTGAACCGACGTACGGAGGCTACACCGGCGCAGCCCCGGATCACACTCTCATCCTCGTTCTCTGCCAGGGTAATGGCAGTAGACATCTCGAGGGACGTTCGGCCCCCGAGAACCCTGATTTACGACGGGGCAGGGGACCCCAAGGCCCATCTGCTATCCTACCAATGGACACTCTCTATGCTGGGAGCCTCCGACGAGGCCATCTGTAGGCTTTTCTTCAGCACTCTCAGGGGACCTGCGCAGGAGTGGTTCGGGCAGCTCAGGCCCGGATCCATAGACAGTTTTGAACAACTCTCCCGGCAGTTCATGGCGCAGTTTGCGTCAAGCTCCACGCCCAAAAAACATTTCAGCTGGTTGACGAACGTCCGCCAGAATAAGGGGGAATCCCTATCCGCTTTCCTCATCAAGTGGAGGGATGAGACCCTGAAGGTTGAGGACCTTCCGGAGAGCACCGGCATCACCCTCTTCACCAACGCACTAGCGATCGGGGACCTCTATCTGGATCTAAAAAGAAACCCCGGGAGCATCTACGCTGAGGTACTTGCTCGGGCACAGAAGTTCGTTGCGATCGAGGAAGAGATCTCACAGCGGGACGGGGTAGCGACCCCTGCAACGCGAAAGGTATCGGACCGACTTGGTCCCGGGCCAGTGGATTCGCCGACACCTAAGAAGAAGAAGACGGTCCTTGGGACACACAGGAACGCTCGGGAGACGATCTTCGCATGGATATTGGGCATGCTCCATTGGCCTACCCCATCAGCCAGATTTTTGGGGCTATCAAGGACAAGGGGCTACTCAAGGAACTGGTACCCACCAAGGGGCACACGATGGGCCGGGACACGGAAGCCTACTGCGAGTATCATCGCAAGCCGGGGCACCGTACGGATGACTGCAAAAGTCTGAAGTACGCCATCCAGCAACTCATCGAGAGGGGATACCTGGGGAAGTTCACTTCGGGAGGAGAGTCCCAGGGTCCTTCACAGCAACACAGGAGGCCTTACAGCTGGCGCCGGGATGATCGACGAGAGGCTGGGGTCAAGGACGAGGACTTCCGTCACAATGGCAAGCGACCAGAGGCATCACTTTGGCCGGTCGGCACCAAGAAGAAGATGGAGATCAAGATGATCTTCGGAGGGGCGGAGACCGGGCATACCCCGACGGAGAGGAAGAAATTCAAAAGGGCTCTCCGAATAAACTCCATCTCCGCACCTCCCACCAAGTAGCACAAAGCCGAGCCTATTGTGTTCGGACCAGCAGATTTACCGAAATCACCAGAACCGCACAGGGATGAGCTAGTGATCAGCATGGATATCCGGGAGTGGATAATCTGACGGGTCCTGGTTGATACGGGAAGCAGTGTCAATGTCCTATACTGGGACGTCTTCGAGAGGATGCATCTGAGCAGGGCCGATCTGAGCCCCCTGCGAATGCCCTTGGCTGGTTTCACTGGCCACAACATTGACGCAGAAGGAACGATCGTCCTTCCAGTGCAGATCGGGGACGGCGAACACCGGGCGACGATCCCCATGACGTTTGTGGTGGTGCGGCTGAAGTGCGCCCACAACGCTATTCTGGGACGTCCTGGTAGGACGATCTTGAGGCCATCTGCTCCGTACGACATTCCTGTATAAAGTTCCCCACGGAGACCGGGGTGAGAATGGCCCGTATGGACCCAGATACAGCGAGAGCCTGCTAAAAGGAGGCGGTAAAGAAAATGACGGAGAGGGATATGAGGGTCAACAGCATTGCTGAAACAGCTCGGCGGGAAGAGGCCATATCCTGACCAGAACCAGCAACCTTGCTAGAGGAAGTAGAACTGGATGATCCCTCCGATCGGAAAGTATCCATTGGGATCGGAGGACATGTCGGGAATTGATCCCGAGATCATCTGCCACAAGTTGGCCGTTTGGCCGGATGCCAGACCTGTGCAGCAGAAGAAAAGATACATGGCGGTCGAACGGAGGGACTTCATCAAGGTGAAAGTCACCACCTTGCTCAGCATACGCCACATTCGGCCTGTTATGCACGTGGAGTGGTTGTCCAACGTCGTCCTAGCACCCAAAGGGCCCACATGGCGGATGTGCATCGATTATTCTGATCTCAACAAAGCTTGCCCAATGGACCTCTACCCAGTGCCGAGGATCGATCTTCTGGTGGATGAGACCGTAGGTAGCGAGCTGCTCAGCTTCATGGATCCGGACGATGCTGAAAAAACTGCATTTGTCACATCAGACGGAATGTACTGCTATGTGATCATGTCATTCGGCTTAAGGAACACAATGGCCACCTTCCAGAGGATGATCGAGATATTATTCAAGGACGTCCTCGGGAAAATCATGGAGGCATATGTGGATGATATCCTGATCAAGAGTAAAACGAAGGAAAACCACGTCCAGGATATGGAGAGAGTTTTCACCATCATGGAGGGGGCGAAATGAGGTTGAACCCGAAGAAGTGTGCTTTCGCCGTAGGGGGGGTGGGGGTGGGGGAGTTCCTTGGCTACATGATGAGCGAGCGGGGAATCGAACCTAACCCGGAGAAAGTGAAAGCTATTATGGATATGGAAGCGCCCCAGAATTTGAAGGATGTACAGAGACTTACTGGGCGGTTGGCGGCTTTGAGCAGGTTTATGTCGAAATTGGCTGACCGGACGATCCTTTTTTCCAAATCATGAAGAAAGCCAGTCCGTTTGAATGGACCCCGGAGTGTCAGACAACTCTCGAGGATTTCAAGGCGTACCTCTCTTCGCCGTTCGTCCTTACCAAAGCGGATCCCGGGGAGTAGCTGTACATGTATTTGGCAGTGGCCGATCTAGCAGTAAGCTCCGTCCTGCTGAAAGAGGAAGATGGCGTTCAGCGGCCTATATACTTTGTGAGCAAGGCATTGAACGGGCCAGAGACCAGGTACACGCTGATGGAGAAGACAGTCGTAGCCCTAATTGCATCAATAAAGCGCTTGACACCGTACTTCCAGGCACACCCGGTGACGGTGTTCACCACTCAGCCATTGGCCACTATACTTAGGAATCCAATGGCAATTGGAAGAATTACGAAGTGATCCTTAATGATCGGGCAATGCAATGTGGAGTTTAAGCTAAGGCCGACGATCAAGGGGCAGGCATTAGCAGATTTCATTGCCGATTGTACAGCACGCACGGAGAATGGGAAGTATGGCAGCAACGACTTTGATAACCCGTGGGAGATGTACACCGATGGGGCAGCGAGCGCAAAGGGGTGCGGGGGGGGGGGTGCAGTCGTCACTTCCCCCGAGGGTTTCAAGGCTTACTACTCTATGAAATTTGAATTCAAGGTCACCAACAACGAGGCTGAGTACGATGCACTTATCGCAGGTCTGAAGTACGCGAGGGCCCTCGGCGGAGCTCGTCTGAAGGTACGGATGGATAGCTAGTTGGTAGTCACGCATATGAACGGTACCGCCGAAACACGGGAGGAACGGATGAAAGCTTACAAAGAGCTGGCAGAGGACGCCGAAGCTAGTGCCACGGGTAGTGCCACTGGTAGAGAACGCCGAAGTTTGAACAGGTGATCATCGACCTAGTGCCACGGGTAGAGAACGCCGAAGCTGACATCCTGTCTAAGTTAGGCAACCCTCTATCCGAGGATCAGGCGACGCTCAGCCCCAAACACATCGGGAGCTTCGCCAGACAGGAAGTGCTCCTCTGATCGGCGACAGAGACGATCCAGGTAAATGTTGTTTCTTTTGCAGATCCTAGCGGGGTGAGGGAGGTAACCGATTATCTTAAGGATGGAACTCTTCCCCTTGATAAAGACGGACGAACCTCTGGAAGGGCCCCATGGATAAAAAGACGAGCGGCACGTTTTGAGGTTATCAATGGAGAACTATACAAAAAGACGTTCGGCGGACCATACCTCAAGTGCCTACCACCGGACCTAGCTGCAGCAATCATGGAGGAAATTCATGAGGGCATATGTTCCAGTCACCAGGGACCCCGAACGTTGGCGAGGAAGATCATCCTGCACGGGTACTACTGACCGACTATCCAACGACACTGCTTCAACCACACTCAGAGGTGTGTAGTATGCCACCAATACGCACCCATGCCAAGAAGGTCGGCCAGCTTCTATACCCCGATGACCGTCGCCCTACCATTTGCGAGATAGGGGATAGATCTGCTAGGGCCTCTGCCAAGGATGACCGGCGGGGAGAAGTTTATTATTGTGGCCATTGACTATTTCAATGCAGAGTTCCAATGTCAGCGCTTCGTCTAGCAGAACATATTATGCCGATTCGGCATCCCGGAGCAGATCATTACGGACAATGGCAGGCAGTTCGTCGGCAAGGGGTTCGAAGCATATTTGGCCAAATGGGGCATCCGACAATCCAAGGCCTCAGTTGCGTATCCGCTGGCGAACGGCCAAGTGGAGAACATGAACCAGACCATCATGGATGATATCAAGAAGCTGGAAGATTACTCCTCAACCTAGCCGGAGCAGCTGAACTATGTTTTGTGGACGTACAAGACAACTCTGAGGACAGCAACCGGAGAAACGCCATTTGCACTGACGTACGGGTTCCAAGCCAAAGTCCCCACCGAAGTGATCGTGCCCACACACCGGACGTTGCACTTCCACCCAGAACAAAACGAGGAAAATCTGAGGGCCGAGCTGCACTTCATTGAAGAAAGAAGGGATCTAGCCGCACGGTGCATGGAGGAGTACCATCGGGAAACCGAGAGATATTTCAACAAAGCAGTGATGGTCAGGAAAATTAGAGTCGGAGATTTGGTACTGCGGAAACGAGAGAAGAGCAAACCGCTCGAGGGCGGCAAGATGGCCAAGAACTGGGAAGGGCCATACAGGGTGTGCGAGAAAAGGTTGGCGGCGGGGACGTTCCTCCTGCAAACCATGGAGGGACGCTCCGCTGGCATGTGGAATGTGGAGCATTTGAGGAAGTTCTATCAGTAAGTTTCCCAAAAAAAAAAGAACGGGGAGAGAAAGGGAGCTTCAGGTTATACAGTGTAACGGCAGAAGTTAATGAAAAAGAGCGGGCTTGGACATTAGCTTAAAAAGTCCCGTGGTTTTTCCCTTTCCGGGTTTCCACGATAAAATCATTGTGTACATCGTCATCATAAAAACACCACAAACCTCTCAAAGGAGATAGAGTTCATCGTAAAGCGACACCAACCCTTCGTACGGTACCACCGTTGCATTAAAGACCCCTCAAAAAAATGAGGGGCATTGGGGAATCCCTAAAGGGGATAAACCCGTTCCGCATCACAATCGCGGCCGAGCCCAGGCTAGGATCCAAAGGGCTGGGCCAAATGGGCAGGTAAGACGAGCGGATGACAGAACGAAGAAACGGGGAATCTCCAAGGAGATAAACTCGTTCTGCATCACAATCGCGGTCGAGCCCAGCCCAGGATCCAAAGGATCGGGCCAAATGGGCAGGTAAGATGAGCGGATGACGGAACGAAGAAACGGGGAATCTCCAAAGAGATAAACCCGTTCCGCATCACAATCGCGGCCGAGCCCAGCCTAGGATCTAAAGGACCGGGCCAAATGGGCAGGTAAGACGAGCGGATGACGGAACGAAGAAACGGGGAATCTCCAAGGAGAGAAACCCGTTCCGCATCACAATCGCGGCCGAGCCTAGCCCAGGATCCAAAGGACCGGGCCAAATGGGCAAGTAAGACGAGCGGATGACGGAACAAAGATAAGACCCTTCAAAAAAAATGAGGGGCACTGGGAAATCCCCAAAGGGGATAAACCCGTTCCGCATCACAATCGCGGTCGAGCCCAACCAGGATCCAAAGGATCGGGCCAAATGGGCAGGTAAGACGAGCGGATGACGGAACGAAGAAACGGGGAATCTCCTAGAAGATAAACTCGTTCCTCATCACAATCGCGGTCGAGCCCAGCCCAAGATCCAAAGGACCGGGCCAAATGGGAAGGTAAGACAAGCGGATGACGGAACGAAGAAACGGGGAATCTCCAAGGAGATAAACTCGTTCCTCATCACAATCGCGGCCGAGCCCTGCCCAGGATCCAAAGGACCGGGCCAAATGGGCAGGTAAGACGAGCGGATGGTGAAACAAAAGAAAAACAAAAAAATACCAAGACGGATCAAACGAATACGACGATCGGCCGAAGGATAAAAAACGAAGGATCCCAGAAAGGATGAACAAAGGAAGAAGACTAATCCTCACAATGGGAAGGACGCCGTTCCTCGCCAAAACAAGTTGGCAACGACGAACGGATAAAAAATGGAGATCAAAATTAAAAGGCGATCGTAAGCAATTAAGTGCTGCATTTTATTCATCGGCTCTACCGGCCGGGGAGTACATATCGTACACGAGTTCGGAGTGAAATTAGGAGTACAAAATTACGGGAGCTATCATGTCCTATGGAGCTATACGTGAATATAGATGAATCTGCAAGAGCTTTCTATGAACCCAAACTGATGCTCGGCCACGGACCAAGATCGTTTAAAGGCCAAAAGAGTTCTTAGAGACGGGAGGGCTAAAGTAAGCCACCTTCAAAACATTAGGCACTATGAGATATCTGGATTGTCGACACGGCCTGCTAGTCAGTCGAAAAGGCCAACAAAGCTGCAGAACCTGACAGACTCCCTCAGCTACAAGAAGGACCGTCCGTCTTCTGGGATTTCTCCTTCAAAGCCTCCTCATAAGCCTCAGCAAACGAAGCGTTGAAGCCAGCAGCTTCAGGATCATACGGAGTTGGGAGATAACGCTGAAGGGCCAGAAGGTTGCCTGCCAAAAGGCCGATCATCCCCTTGACAAAAGCATCATCGGCGAGCTCCGCAAGGAATTCCTGGCCTGCGGGGGTCTTCGATATCATATCGATGCCGTCCTTCACCATGTCAAGGCTCTTTGCCAGGTACTCCCCAAGGCTCTGGGCAAGGCGCTCCTTCACACGGACGTTCACGGCATCAACATAGGCCTTGGATTTTTGAAACTCGATGGATCCAGCTTCCTTGATCTTGGAAACATCGACCTCGAAAAGCGGAACGGTCCCCTCCGCGCCAACCGAGCAGAGCTGCACGTCGGACTTCTCCACGGCGGCCATCTTGGCACTGAGCAACTGTAGTTCCTCGGCCTGCTTCTTGACCGTCTCATGGAGAGAGGTACTCCCCTTAGCAAGCCTAAGGGCGACGTTCAGGTCCTTCTGCATCTTACTCAGACGCTCCCTGGCCTTTCTCACCAGATCCTCGGCGTCACAACGCACCTGGGCGGAAGCACGCTCGTGTGCCTCATAAGCGAACCGCGCCTTGCGGAAGTAAATGGTGGCCTTATTGAGGGTGCTAAGGCCGCACTCATGAAGATCCACCGGGCTCTCGCGAGCGGCAAAATCACGGGGGACCCTTAACCCCAATGAGCACCAGATGGAAGAGGCTGTCTGACCAAACAGTTTCTTCGACTCCGCACGGGGACCCAACCCGGAGAACTCGATAATATCAGAAAAAGACTCCTCAGAAACGGGCAGAAGAGGATCGCACAACACCTTGCCCGCTGAGAGAACGGGCTGCTTCCTAGGGGAGGCGACCTCATCATCCGACCCATCAAGAACCACCACGGACTTGGAAGACCGCTCCTCATGACAGGGCTTCTTGGGCAGCCGCTCATCCCTAGCAAGATCTTCGGCCTTAGGCCTCTTCGGGCCCTGATCATCGCCGACAATTTGTTTCCCCTTGTTGGTATCAGCCCGACCCGAGGAGGGGGTTGCATGGGCACGGGGAAACATGGCAGAAGACCTGGGAAAAAGTCCTGCACAGAAGAAAATATAAAAGTCAGAGCAATGATTGGAATTCATAGCAAGAGTCCAAAACCCGGGCCACAGCAAGGACGTACCTATGTCGGCCTTGTTCAAATTGGTAACATTCACCAGCGAACGCAAGTTCTGGACCCCCTCATCGGCAATACGCGCGGCCTGCTGCAGCTCGGTCGAACTCAGGACCGAAGGCTCAAACTTGATGGGGTAAGCATTCCACCGATCAGAGAAGGGAGGAGGGGAGTCAACCTCGGCAAAAACGATTCTCTCCTCCCAGCCGTTCGGGTTTGGGGGTTATTGGAAAAAAGAACTCTCCAAGGGCGGGCCACGAGACTAAGGTAACCTGTCTGGCCATACAGGGAAAGCCGGAAGAAGTGCAGGAACAGTTTCACGGAAGGTTCAACCCCCGCATGGTGACACCGAATAATGAAACCGGCAAGGATCCGATGGGAGTTCGGGACGAGCTGCACTGGGGTGACACCTAGGCCCCTAAAAGGAGAGATGTGGAAAGGCAACAACGGGAAAAGGAAGCCCGCTGCCACAGAGTCCAGATGGACGACCATGTGACCGGGTAAATGCCGCATAGGATGGCGGAGAAACCGTGCGTCCCAACCCCGTGGGGGGACAGCTGGGGAATCAAGTTCCTATCACTGGAAAGCCGACGTTGGTGTTGACGCCGAACGAGGTGGAAGTTCAAAGAATAGCGAGGAGGTTGGGGGGCATCCCACGCTTGTAGAGTTGTAGACCGAGAGGTCGTCCCCTGAGTTGCAACCATCGTCAGATGAACTTTAAGAACGGTCGGGGGGAGTTTGCATAGGGACAATAGAAGTCATGGCAAAGAGCGGATGGAAAACATAAACTTACAAAGAGAGTTGGAGGCTTAGAGAGAGAAAGCAATCTGGCAGAATAACGACTAAAGAAGGAAATGGAGTAATTCCCACTGGTAGCGGGGTATTTATAGGCAACATCGCCGCTTTTTGCCGAATCGGGGTAAGACACGTGGCGGACCGTGTTTGGTACATCCTGCGACTGGCGCGACTCTTCGAGATCCGTGCCGCCGGATGCGCGTGCCAAGGACACCTTCTCCGCAACAAGACGAACGTCCCCATTCCCTAAAAAGGAGAAGGAAGGATTATGTGTAAAAAAAAGGGAGAAGGAAGGAGTATGTGTAAACCCGTTCCGCATCACAATCGCGGTCGAGCCCAGCCCAGGATCCAAAGGACCGGGCCAAATGGGCAGGTAAGACGAGCGGATAGACGAGCGAGATTGTAAAGAACCCCTAGACGAAGTAAGGAAAAGAATCTAAAGGGGAAAGGGTCGTTCCTCGCTAAAAGCGGGGAGGAACGGACAAGGAAAGATGCAGATAAGCAAAATAAACCATCAATCAACAATGAGCAAAAGGGAAGTCTTTATTCTTCGGCTCTACTGGTCGGAACATACAAGTAAACAAAAGACAGAACAGTTAAGGAATCACTCCAGGAAACCATGAGCAGGGGAGCGCTGGGCAAACGATCAGGAATCTCACCCCTCTGCATGGCTTCGATCCGTCGCTGATCCCGATCGATTTTCCCCATAACCCGCCAGAGTTCCTCTTCCTTCGTAGAATCCTCCACATTGAAGGAGGGACAGCTGACCAGAGGAAGGACATCCTTGGGGTCCTTCACGCCTTGATAATACCCCTTGGCAAAGGCATCATCAGCAAGCTCTGCGATAAACTCATCACCAAGCGCAGACTGCAGCTCACCCTCAAAGACCTCCCCCGCGGCCTCCCGGCAGTATTCATACGCGGCCTTGAGGAATTAGGACGTCTTCTTGAACTCTTCAACATTAAGGGCCAGGGTCAGAACGTCACCAGGGCGACCCCGCCCTTAGGACTCGGGGAAGGGACGACGGCGGGGACAAAGGAGATCTCGTGCTTCTCAGGCTCTCAGCTAGGGCCACCTTAGAAAGAAGATGTTGTTTCTCCCTATGGCTCTGATCTCGGATGGCCTGGAGCTCCTGTTGGGCCTGGGCTAAAGCAGCCTGGAGTTTTTCCATCTCGGCCTGGGCAGCCTCCCTCAGCCGCACGGCCTCCCGCTCCTTCTTCAAAGCCGCATCAGCTTTCCTCTTGAGCTTGGCAGCATCTTTCTCCCGAGCGGCCCTTGCCTGCAACAGGCTCAGCCCAGCCTACAAGGAAAGGATAGGGAATAAGGAGGAGACAGATGGCAGACCAAGTAGCAAGAGGGAGGGAGAAGATGACAGGAACGTACCTCAAGGTCAGAAGCAGGGCATGATCAACAGAATTGCCGGAAGAACGGTCCGACGGCTCCATCCCGGCCTGAAGGGCCATATCCTTCCAGATCTCAGAAATCAGACGGCCTGCAGAGGGCACCACGGTGTCAGTGGGCTTGGGACCGGAGGGCTCAACACGTTGCCTCTTCGTTTTCTTCCCTTTGTCCTTTTCCCCACCAGCAGGGATGGCGACACCGATCGGCTCTACATTCAGAACCTGGTTATCTTCAACGTACCGGGCCTTAGAACTCTGCCTGGTCACTACAGCGATCAGATGTTGCTCGGAAGCCGCAACGCGCCGATCCGCCTGAGATGTGGCGGAAGAGTTGGCATCAGAGGACTGGTTGGTCCCTCAGGCCTTCGCCTGCGCCGCTCGTAGCGTAGCGGCCTTGGCCTCACGACGAGCTTTCATGGTTTCACGATCCATCTGACCCTGAGTAGGGGGAAGACCTGAAACAAAAAACAAGAGTCTTAAAACCGGGCGGTGTGAATCTTAAAGGCACTCACCTCAGGGAATGGACTGCCCGGGCCCACAAGATGAACACGAGTGAATGTTAATCCAGGGATCACGGGCGGTACTTATCCCTGCATCAGAGAGTGCCTGGATGGTCAGGAATTCCTTCAGCCCCTTGACACCGCCCAGCTTCAGCTTATCTATGGCGCCTTGCAATTCTTGAGTCAGCTCCAGCGGCGTTATCTTCGGAGGGTACCCGTTCCACCTCACAGGAAGCCGTTCGTCTGAATAGCGAAGGAAGAAGAAACGGTTTTTCCAGTCATGAATGGAAGTGGGGGCGCCCTCAAACAGTTTCCTTTTGGGACGTGCGGTCACACTCAGGAACCCATCGGCGTTTTGGGGGGCGACTTGGAAGAAATGGTGAAAAAGTTCCAAACAAGGGGTGAGTCCTTGCAGTTTGCAGCGAACAATAAAGGCAGAGATGAGACGATAAGAGTTCGGCATAAACTGAGCCGGAATGACACTGTAGCAATCGAAAAAATCGAGATAAAACTCATGGAGTGGGAAGTGCAGTCCGGCCTTTACAGAATCCATGTGCACCATAACCATTCCCGGACGTCTTCTGAAGAGATTGTCCGCACCTCGGAGGCTATAGCAGAACGGTGGAGCCGTGGAGGGAGGAGAGTTTGCAGCTCCTTCAGGGCCCTCCTAGAGAAGACCTGATCGATCACGGCGACGTTGGGGATAAGCACGAGGTGCCGATGTTGGTCCATGGGGAAGTCGAGCTTGAACACCTGAAGGTCGTCCCCTTCTTCGGCCTCTTCGCTGGAATCATAATCGGCAGGGCGCTCCGCCGCCGCAGCATTCTCAAGGACGGCGTCCATATCAATATCCACCCTACATTCAAGGGGGCGGCCTCATTCGCCGCCACGTGGCCCACCACCGTGGAGGCGCTGGAGTGGCCAGAACTACTTGTCCCCTCTGAAAAACGGGACGTAGAGCCCGTCGCAGAGGAAGAACCGGTAGATGAATCGGTGAAAGAACCAGAGCCAGTGTCCGATTCAGAGGAGATTTCCATGGAACAGGCCATGGGGAAAGGTTACGAGGGGAAAGAAGAGGAGTTAAAATCGAGAAAGTACCTTCGGAATTTGGAAGCAAAGACGAACGCGAGAACCGGGAACACTTGCTGGGGAGCGCCTGAGATGCGAGGAAGGAAGCGGAAGATGGAAAACCCTAATCTTTCCAGTGATCCCGATATTTATAGGGGGATACGCCCCTCCAACGGCCAACCCACGGATGACACATGGCGAGGAGCGTACCCAGGGACACATGTCACGCTGAGATGGACAGGTGCAAAATGATTACTTTTACATCGGAAGTTGAACCGGCCAGCATAATTGTCCCCTAGAGCCCCGTGAACAACGTCGGAGAAGCAACCGTCACATCGGGGAAGGAGGGTAGCGGTGCGAAGCAGTACGGCGAAAACAAATTACTTTTTTATGTCCCGCGCACGCTCGGAACATCAGAAGTGGGGGACTTGTGTTAGGTTTATGGCCCAATAAGGGTCGGCCCATCAACCCTTAAGGATCACCTACGAGCGTCCTACTAAAGGCCCAAGAAGAAGGTCAAGCACTAAGGGTCGGGGGACGTACGTAGTCCGTCACCAGCCAGTATCAAGGCCCGAGGGTCAGGGGACGTACGTAGTCCATCACCAGGAGGTATCCAGGCCCTGGGTTCCTGCGAGGTACTTGGGGACGGACGTCCCCACTTCTTAGTAGGGGACCAAGGGCAGCCCAAGGATAAGTCAGGGATAGTAGCCTCAACAGAAGACGAATGTCCTCTCTCCCATTGGTAAGGAATCGAGATCCCAACAGAAGACAGCGGCCAAAGCCCTTGGGGACGAACGTCCCTACCCAATGTTGGGAAACCAAGATTCTGGCAGGAAGCGCATCAAATGTTGGAGATTTGGTGGTTGGGATCATGTCGCCCACAGCCAGCCACGTCAACACTCCCAACTACCCCTGGAATAGTATAAATAGCAGCATTTATTTCATTGTAAGGGGTTGGCGATCCAGTATTCTAGCATTATAACAGTAATAGTAGTTCGTAGCATAGCACAGTACGTTTGGCCCTTCGGCTTGTAACAGTTTGAATCAGTAAACATAGTTGTTTGGCCCATTTCCGGCTTGTCTCTTCACCTTACTTGTCCATTACCCATTCGAAACCCCCAGGTTACGTGTTGGGCCTGTGGGTTGAGGGAATAAACCTCAACAATATTTTTGTTCTTGGTATTTTCTTCAAGTTCTTGAGGAGGGAAGTTCATCCTCCGAAATCATTGGTGTTTAGGTATTATTTCCTTTGTAATTTCATGTTCCATTACATTTATTATTGTATTGTGATTAATATGAGCATTAGAGGCTAAAATCTTAGCTAAGGCTAGGGATGAACTTCTATGCCCACTAGGTGTTTGATAAAAGTTCTAAACTAATAAATTGTGATTTATCCTTTATACTTTGATTGTTTATGACAATGGTGTACAACATAGAAATATGTTAAATTTAGTTTATACTTGCAATTAACGTTGAAGTCTAAACTATGAACATTAAAGGATAAACATATATTGTACCGAGAATAGAAATATATCCGGTCTTATATGATACGGGTGTGATGTCTTGATATTCAATGGAGTTTTCGGTAGATGAATGTAAGCCGTAACGGGACTTACATGTAACGAAAATCACATTATCGCTGCCTTAACCGGAGTTGAGAATATATTAGCGACATCGTATTCATAATTATTGGTAAAGAACTAATATTTAACCCTATTAAAGCATTAAAGTGATTCCCGAAGCCTTAGTTGTTGTTATCAATCACTTTAAATCCAAATTAATTTAAGTTATATCCCTGAAAATTATAGAGAAGAATCAAGTTGTTTTCACAACAACACACAAATCAAATCAAAATCCCTGCACTTTACTCATTTCTTTATTTAAAGTTATCTACTCTCGGACTTGAACTAAACAACGTTTCCCTGTGGATTCGACCCGGTATTTTACCGGAATTTATTACTATATCGGCACTTGTACACTTGCAAGTTTAGCCCGGTCAGTGGTACATATACACGTACATAACACAACTTTGACCAACAAAACCTCTCCATCATGTTCAATGACATCAATTCACCTTTGGGATCAACCCGTGAATTAGCCCACCGATCAGGGATGGGTGAAAGAAGCATATACAACATTTGAAGTTTCATATTTCCAAAAATGTTATTCGCTATCATATATTTAAAGAATAGTTATATTTCAAGTAACATTTCAAAACAAAGTCAACTACATGAGTACCCTTTCTTAAAAAACACAAAATGGGTTCCAAATATCTACCAACCCGCCAGCTGTTATTTTTTCCCAGTTTTCAAATAAGGTTAATAGATTTGTGCATTGATGATACAAGCAGATTGTTTGGAACATGTCATGCATTACTGTAATACAGCAAAGTGACAGGCTAGCTACATAACTATTTAAAGACTTTATTCATGATACTAGCAGTCAAAACAGTCAAAAAAGGCATGATGGATTTATCGTTAGGGACCACAAATATACAGGCACAAAAATACCTTTGAAGTGCTGAGCCTTAAGTGTAGACTGTAGAGTGAATCTTACTTGGGAAATCATTAGGCAGAGAAAAAAATTACGAATTTGTCTTTTCCTCAAGTTCTTCACCGAGATGCTTGCAAACTCTCCTTCCTGAATTCCATCAAGTATGTGTACATTTTTAATAAATTCAATGTGCATTGTTTATACATTATTGACAACTAAGTAACACGGAAACGCAAAACAGAAAACGTTAAACAGGAGAACGAGGTAGAGACGCGTAAATATAAAAACATGGTGGAAACACGTAAATATACAAAAATATAGGTATATCTTTATAAATATTTTTTCACACACACACCAATGCACGCGCGCGCGCGCACGCACACACACACACACACACACACACACACATACACACATACACACATACACACATACACACATACACACATACACACATACACACATACACACATACATACATACATACATACACACACATACATACATACATACATATATATATATATATATGTATGTATATGTATACATACATAAATACATAGATATTATCATATGTATACAATAAATACACATATAATCATCTATACACACATATATATTATCATATAGCTTTGTAAAATAACCAATGATGAAAATAGGCTTCATGTTTAAAAAAAGAAATTATTGACATATTAATACACAAATTTCTCGCAATGTAACATATACGTAGTATCACACTATGAAGCATCACAAAGACCATAGTTGCTATGAAGATATTCCATACTAGTTTTATTAATAAATTACATATACACTAATATCCATCCAGAAAGACCATCAAAAAGAAAGAAAAAAACTGGAAACGTAAAGTTCCTGAACGTTAAATACTTAAGGAAATAGGATTTCCAGTTCTTTTTAATTATGGAAACTATGGGTAAACAGGAACTGAAAGTTTTCAGGTTTCCGACACGCTTCGTAATTTCTAAAACATTGAGAACATGTGAAAAAATTAGTAAAAGACTAAGACCAGCCCCTTTTTATCGGAAGAAGAAACAACCATCAACAACAAAACCTCTTTCGATAACAAAACAACATATTAATCCGTGCATGAGTGCATCCAAACATATTTCCTTCAATTGGATAAATATTAAGGTTTTCCAAGCCGTGCAGCAGGCCGCTTTGTCGCCAAAGCAACTAGGTCATTGTCTAATTGACAATTAATGAATTAATGACAAGTAACCATATGCAATACTTGAATGAAATATGGGGAAAGTTCCCCAAATAGGAGTAAAAAAGTTTGAAAATTCCTAAATAGAACCACCATGCTTTTATTCCCAAAATAGGAGTAATTACCCTAAAGTTTGAAAAATATTGTCATGTTCAAAATCAGGCACTAATTAGTCCTATTTTGGGAATAAAAACATGATAGACCTATTTTGGAATATACAAACGTTTTTAGTCCTATTTAGGGTAATTTCCCTAAAATATGTTACTTCCTCCGTCCCTTAAAACTTTGCCAAAGTTGAACGGCACGGAGAATAATAAAGTAAAAACTGTGTGGTTGAGGTTTGTGCAGAGGAGAGAGAAATAACAGAAACCACAAAATAATTGATTAAAAGAGAAAGAGGCAAAGTTTTTTGGGACGTCCCAAAATGGAAAGATGGTAAAGTTTTAAGGGACGGAGGGAGTACAAAATATACTCCATGTGTCCCTTATTTCCCCCCCCCCCCTCCCCCCCCCCCTCCCCCTCCCCCCCCCCCCCCCCCCCCCCGATTAGTCACAACTTTTACAAAAGAGGGGACCATGAGATTGGTATTTATTTACAATATAGAAATCATATCAACCACATACTTTCATACATTATTCGGAATTACATAGAACACATGGCATACAATGCAGACACTTATGTTGCCTCTGACAAAGACATAAGTCAAAGATATCAGTCAGCCTTATCACAAGATTTGTTTTAAATTAGTACAGTGGTTAATTTTCATAGCATTTTCAATAATGTCATTGTCAGAATCCAAAAAGAATACCTATCAACACTGAAGTACATTATGTTAATCTTACTACAGTATGTTAGTAGCTTAGTATACCAATCTTCTACTTCATTAAGTTGGTATGCCTATCCTCTAATACATTATGTTAGTATACCTATCAGTCCTGTCTTCTATCTGGTCATAAACGCTGTGCAAAACAAAGGAGGTTATACAACATGATTTACCTGGCCACAGTTCCAACTATTATTATGATTCTCCCCGTCATTGTTGTGTTCTCCATTTGCCATATTATGCTTATCATTATATGTCACTAGATCAGCCAAAGAGAAACCATCATGGGCACACACAAAGTTTATACTGTTCCAGGGTTTTCTTCCTCCTTCCTTTAAAACAAAAGGCAAAATAGTTATAGCAATTGATCAACTTATTTTTAAAACTATAGCTGCTGATGAAAACCATTTAACTACCAACATGCCTGGTATAAATTTGGGCTTCCACAAAGACATTCAGCAAAGGCCCCTGAAAACCCATCTGTACCTTTTATGAACTGTCGTACTACGTCACGGTACTGAAAGAAACAAAAATATAAAGTAGTGACATTAAAGAGACAATTTTTTGTTTTATTATAGCACACACAAAACAACGTGATGCCATAAACAATTGTAAAGTATGGAAAGACAGATCTATAAACACCACAAAATAAAGCCAACTCATCTAGAATCTCCTCTAATTAATTATTGATGAAGTGAAACAACAAAAAGGGCAGCACAAGGGATAGGAAGAAGCAAAATAAAGTATTAATACAAGATGGAAACTGTATTTAAACTGACCTTTCCATTCCACTCTGACCAGATACCCGAATGAGGAAATGCACCAACTTGGTAAAGGCCTCCACAGTCCCATGCTTCAGCTATAAGCTGGTTATATAGTAAAAAGTCCGTTTGGCAAGCTTGTATCAGTTGTATGTAATAATTATGATAATGCCAGGAATGTTTATAGTTGCAATATTTACAAATAACAACTGAGGTGAACTATTTTACTAAACCCTGGCACAGCAGTAGCACAATGGTTAGGAAGTCACCGGGATCATATAGTGCAGGCTTCCTACCTCTTAAATGTGCATAGATAAGCAAAAACCAAATTGTTGAGAGAAAGATAGTATATTGAAAGCAGATTCAGAGACCGAGTATACAGACACAAAAGAGAATTAAAACACTTGACTATTCCTGTGTCTGCCAACTGTGTGTTGTGAAACAGCGTGCTGTGACTGTTCTTTAACTGTTTGTAAATACACTTCAATATAAATTCTACCACAAAACTTTGCAAATCATTATACATTGTGTTACTATAAGACTCACTGCTCATAAGTCTTATAGAAGAAAATGATGAAAGGTTTAAGTTCCGGTTCCCCAAGGAGAAAAAGGAATTGAAATACCTTTACTCCGCTTAGTATTGGATCACTGCTAATCATATCAATTAATGGCGGGCTTGAGAGAGGAGTTCCTGTTGTGAGCATAACACCTTCAACTGAATTTCCATAAACATTCACAGCATCCCATAGACTGGAAATATATAAAAAATTGTTTTGTCCATATTTCAAATAAATAAAAATAAATAGCCTTGTCCATCATATGAACAAGACAAGAGTAACATAAATGCAAACTTCATGTTTGAGTAACCTGCTACTCCGTGTCAGGATGGAAGCAAGGTCAAAGCGAAACCCGTCAATGTGCATTTCAATAACCCAATACCTGTCAACAGGCAGGTCATAACATATGATGTTATTAATAATGGGGGGAACATATAACTGCACTGAGTATAATATGATTGAAAACAAAAAATTGCACAAACATCCATGATAGAGAGCAGGGAGAGCAGGTGGGCTGTGTGGAAGAGGAGGGTCCAAGACCCAAGGGGCTGTCGGTTTACTGCAGGCGGGAACGGGCTTGAGCCCACTTTCGTGGGCTGGTTGCGAGCTGCTTAATTAATATTTATTATTATTTTTATTTTTTCTGATTTGTTTCGTATTTGAAGCTAATTAGGATTTCTATTATTTGTTTCCTATTAGGAGTTAATTAGGATTTCTATTATTTATTTCCTATTTGAAGTTGATTAGGATCTCTATTATTTTGTTTCCTAGTTGGGGTTGATTAGGATTTCTAGGATTTTGTTTCCTAGTTTGAGAATTAGTAGATGGGTATTTAAACCTCTTGTTAGGAATCTAGGATTCATTCGGGCTCATCTTGGAATAAAATTGGTTTTAGCCTTTTGGCTGTGGGCAACGTTATCTTTCTGGGCAACGGTATACCCCGTTGATTTTATTTTTTTTGTTACACAACAATCCATCTCTCATTCCATTATAATCTCCTTAGAACCAAACAAACAGGTAAACATGCCCAGCATATACCACTCAGAATTAGGATCTCGGGAGGGTGAGATGTATGCAGCCCTCATCTCTACCCATTGGAGTAAAGAAACTGTATCCGAGAATACACCACCAAACCATCCAAGGTAGTGTAACCAGTGTGTAAAAAAACTTGGGTAAAAAAGGCAAGCATAAAAGAAAAAGTCAAAAAACAAAAGGATGTTCTTTGCATCACCAAAACTGATACAAATATGAAACCATAAAAAGTGAATGAGTATATTATAGCATACATAATAAATGTAATTGTGTGTGTAATATTGACACCACACAAGATCATTGATAAGTTCGTATTACAACACGCATTTGATGCGTGTTGGAGTCGGATTTTGATGGTTTTCCTAGCTTTAAGGCGTCATAAGTGTCAATTTTAGCTCAAGTCGTGTTAGCCGGGTGTTGGAACGAGTTTTGGTATTTTTAGAGTTGAAATCAGGTCTTTTAGGCCTGGTATCGGCGCTTGAGGAGTGATCGGGACGAATTAAGAAGCGTTCGAGAGTGAATTCAGAGTTTTGAAGGCCACCGGAAGATTCACGATGAAGATTCGAGGAAGAAAGAGCTTTTGGATTGATCGCGGGGCCAAAGGGGGACTTGAACGGAAGAAAATGAAGAAATCGGAAGAAAAAAGGCCACACACGGCCGTGCGTGCGTGGCAGTAGCGGCCAAGAGCATTAAGGATAGACGCACGGCCGTGCGTGAAAGGACGCACGCGTGCGTCCGATGAAGAAAACGATCTGGACCCTACTGGCAGCCACGCACGCGTGTGTGGCAAGGGACGCACGTGTGCGTGGCAAGGGACGCACGCGTGCGTCCAACGTTTTTAGCGGGTATCTGTCGGACGCACGGACGCCACACCGCGTGCGTGGGCGCCGTGCGTACCACGTTTCTTTCCTAATTCAGCCCAAATTGCTTTGTTTCCTATAAATAACACTTCCATAACCCTAATTAATGGGGATGGAACTTAGAGAGCAGATTAAGGATGAATTTTGAGAGCTTTTCAGCCTTGGTTTTTCAATTATTTAAGATTTTTTGTAAGTTCCTACTTTTTAATTAATGACAATTATTTCTATTTTTCCCAATTCTATTGATTCTTCAATTATGAGTAGGGAGTAGTTTTAATTAGGGATTTAGGATTGATGAAGGGGTTGATCATGATGTATGGCTACATTCTTGATGGTTTAATTGCATGAATGCCGTTTAATTTGTGTTTGAATAATTTAATTGCTATCTTTTGTAACCTGGAACCGCGGCTAGACTTACAATTGCTTTTAGAATAAATTAAGAGAGATCTAGTTTATTCTAAGACACCTTCACACACACTTAATCGTCCGCTAAGAGATTAGTAGCGATTAAAGGGCCGTAAGCTCGCTCGTCTTGACAATTATTTAGGATCCTGTCGCATGAGAGATCAGCCTGGTCCCCTAAATTATTGTACTCTACGCCGCGAGAGTGGTAAGAACTTAGTAGTGATTAGCTAGACTCAATTAAATTAAATTCATGTAATTAGGCCTGATATGCCAGAAATTTGATTACCCTGGAATCAATCCCTGTTCTCTTCGTCGGTAATTAAGAAGAACCAAAATCTTTACTTTTATTCGTTTATTTGCAATTTTAATTTTCTCAATCAACCAAATCTCGCATGACTGCATTTTTTATTTATTTTTAATCGCTGAATTTAGTTAGTCCTTAATTCCCTTTTTCCCGTCCCTGTGGAGACGATACTCGTACTTTCACCGTTGTTCTAATACTAATTTAAGTGCGAGAAAACTCACATCAGTTTTTGGCGCCGTTGCCGGGGACGCTGTCGGTCTTAAGGGGAGAACCGTTTTTAGTTTTTCGCATGATTTTTGTCTGCTAACTTTGCAGGTCAAATCTGTTTATGCATACACGTTCTAAGAGGGGAAAACCACTACTCCCTCTTAATCTTGAGATCGAAAAGCTCGCCAGACAAAACCGCAAGGCTGAAAAGGAGAAAATCACCATGGACCATCAATCTTCATCCGGAACTGCAGGGATATCTGGTATCCCTCAACAAGATTTCTACGTTAACACGTCACCCCAATCTTCACCACCAACTTCACCTAGAAACTCTCCTGGTTTTCAAAACTACCGTACTCCGATCTTTTCCCAAAATCAACCGTCACCGCAATTTAACCTCCCTCCATTATATCAACTTGTTCAAAATACCCCTACTGCTCCTGAAACTAATTTCCAAAATCAAGTTTATGGGATGCAAGGAGCAGGGCAGAGTATACCCGTTTTTCAACTGAGACAGAACCCACTTCCAATCAATCAACCTACATTCCAAAATCAACCCCAGTACCAGAATCTGTACCCCAATCATTATCACAACCAAACCCAAGTCCTACCTGCTCAGCCACAGCCAGCCCCCCAGCCTAGACAGCAGGCTCCTCCACAAAATGCTTATTTACCGCACAATAATTCACTCTATCAGCGCCGGACCATTGCAGAGTTCCTTACGCCAGACGTTTCAGAGTATGATAGCATTCAAGTGCCGGGAATTACTGCCAATCATTACGAGATCAAATCGGCGGTGATAAGCATGGTGTCTAATAACCAATTTGGAGGAGGCCCTACAGAAGACCCAGTGGCGCATATTGCCCGCTTTCTGAGGATGTGTCGGACTTTCAAGATACTTGGGTTAACTGATGATCAGGTAAGCAATCCTCACCACCACCTCCAGACTTTCTCGTTGAGGGACGATGCGCAGAGGTGGTTGGACAGCAATCCTCACCACCACCTCCAGACTTGGAACCAGATGCATAGTGCCTTTATTAAAGAGTACTTCCCTACGTCAAAGGCCCTGAAGTTGAAGAAGCAACTACAAGAGTTCAGGCAGGGATCTCTAGAAACACTGGCTGAAGCATGGAAGAGATTCAAGGTGCTGAGAAGAGCTTGCCCTCGGGGAAATTTAACTGATTGTGAGGTTCTTTTCTACTTCTATAGCGGACTCAACAATGAAGGAAAGATGATGTTGGATGCTTCGGGTGGCGGAGCCTTTCCTGATTTACCATCTGAGGTTGGGGAAGAACTAGTGGAGAAGATAGTCAAATAATGCATCTTGGTACAGTGACAGGAGTTCTTTTCAGCAAAAGACTCCGGGCCTATACGAGATCAGTGATAATTCTGGTCTCTCTGCACGAGTAGATACATGAGCAAACATGATGCAGAAGCTCACAACCAGCGTGACTAATCTAGGGAAAAAGGTAGAACTTGCTCACTCGATGCCCAGTGTAAATATGGTAGCCCCAGTCCTATGAGTCCTTCTTGTACTATGTGTGGGGGACTCCATTGGCCACATGAATGTAATATGATGGCACAGTCGGCAGCCGCTGGAGTGGAGCAAGTAGATGCAATGTATTTTCAGAGGCAGGGTTATTACAACCAACCCTACGGCTAGCAGCAGGGGAATTACGGGCAAGGAAACCAACAGCAGCAGCAGTCTAGGAACTATAATCAGCCCCAAGCACCTCAAGGTCAGCAACAAAAACCTCAACCGGCGCAAGGGAGTTTTAGGAGGGAAATTGAGCAAAAAATTTCTAGCTTGGAAGAAACGCTCAAATAATTAGCGCAAAATCACCTCAAGCAGCAGGGGAATTACGGGCAAGGAAACCAACAGCAGCAGCAGTCTAGGAACTATAATCAGCCCCAAGCACCTAAAGGTCAGCAACAAAAACCTCAACCGGCGCAAGGGAGTTTTAGGAGGGAAATTGAGCAAAAAATTTCTAGCTTGGAAGAAACGCTCAAATAATTAGCGCAAAATCACCTCAGCGGACTCAATGATGCAAAACATGGAAAATCAATTGGGGCAGCTTGCAAAGGCTATATCTGAAAGACCTCGAGGATCCCTCCCTAGCAACACTGGGCCGAACCCAAGAGAACATGTTCAGGCAGTCACCTTGAGGAGTGGAAAAGAGCTACAACCTGATGCCACGACAGAGAAGCCCAAAGAAGTTGAACCGGCTGCCCAGGAAGAAAAGAAAGAGAAAGATGAGGAAAGAGAGGTGGCGGCTGCACCAAAACAGCCCGTTTCGGTCAAGAATTACACCCCACCTCTTCCCTATCCGGCGCTTCCCTATCCGGCGCGATTGACTAGGAAGAACGACAATGACCAGTTTGGTAAGTTTCTGCATCTTATGAAACAAGTGCAGATTAACTTATCATTCGTGAATGCACTAGCACAAATGCCAAATTAAGCGAAGTTCATGAAGGATCTATTGACGAACAAAAGGAGGTTGGAAGAAGCGTCAACTGTGACGCTTAATGAGGAGTGCTCAGCTGTGATACGGAGAGATCTGCCGAAGAAGCTTA